ATCAGTTATCATCTTCACTGGCAAATCCGAGCACCAGAACAGAGTAAGGGTCGAGCCAGGTTTGGTTGCGATAAAAATCAGTCCACAATACAGAATGCCAGGATGAGGTTGACTGTGCCAGATGTGATTGCAGTGCCCATCCAGCACACATGAGAAACAGGAAGGGAGGGGGCAGAGCCAGCGGGGGAATAAGGGGTGGTTCCTCTGCTGGACAGCTACTCCCACTGAAGAGCATGAACTGGGATGGGGGCAGACCAGACTAAGCAGGGCTACAACACCTGTGCGCCTCATGTGGACTAGACCAGGGAAAAGCCAGGATGGGTTGATTGTTCCTATGGGTGCAACCTACAATTAGAATGGGAGAGGGCTGTTTGGGCATAGCCGTAGCATCAGCTGGCAGAAACTGGCACTGGGGGCTAATCCTGTCAAGTTAAACTGCAGAACCACCTGGAAAGTGCACAATCCAGGAGTGAGAGACCTGGGAGGGAAATAGTGGGTTCCCCCCTCTTGGGTTACCACTGCCACGAGAGGGCACGAGAACTAGGACGAGGGCTGGGGTAGCTAGACAGAGAGGCACTCAACCACACCCATGAAGGCTTGACTGTTGAGCTGGGTAGATGGATCCAAGCTTCAATGTCATTTGCCATGTATGAGAACCAGGGGGGATGTGGATCAGATTGGACTGGTCTGCCACATATATTGGCAAACCAGGGTAGGGGGTTGGCCTGGTGGGGGTTATTGTGGGCCGGTCTCATCAGGATGCAGCTCCCACTGGTTTAGGTGAAGACCAAGTATGTGCTGTGCAGAACCAGGCTAGACTGCAACACCCATTGGTTCCAGTAGAAGGCGGGGCTGAAAACGGAACCAACCCAGCAATTGAAACTACCAGCTGACCGTGTGATGGACTGTGCTGGGCCCTGTGCTTGCTGGTGCATACAAGTATCTGGCCTGGGAACACCTCAGACAAAGTTTCTTTGGTGATCTCCCCAATTGAAATGCCAGACTCAGAACCCTAACCATGAAGGGACAGAAGATGGAACAAGTTATTCAACCACCTCAGCTATAGGTTGGCAACAAAATACCGGGCAAATAGAGACGCTATGATGGACAATGTCAATTAATGGATTTTTCAACAACCTCATCGTGTTTGGAGAGGCAAGATTGGCAGCAATTTCAAAACTGGTGACCTATTGAAACCACTTCAACGAGTATCTCGGAGTATGCCCCACATGCGGGACTTGGGGTGGGTGGGAAACCAGGTGGGGCTTCTCCCTCAATATCCCCCTCTACCTCAGATATATGAAGGAAACAATTTGGAAATAATAGTCTTACCCACTTTCCTGTAGCCCTTGACCCTTTGCCCGAATTAACCATGTAACGATTGTTAAAATAAAAATATATATATACAAAAAAAAAAGAAATGTGCATAACCTTCTCAAACCCTTTCAATAGTTGGTAAGTCATAAACTACATATTTTCAAATTTAGGACCAAAAGGATGGGCATCAAAAGAAAAAAGCTATGAACGCTTCCTAAATCTGTTTCTTCATGCTTGACCTTTAAGTTCTTCCTATACAGAGTCATCATCAATATGAATACCAGACTTTTGGTGGGTCACATTCAGGCAACATCTGGCTACTGGTAGGAAAGGCATAAAACACTTAAATGAGATAGAGTGCATTTTTATATCTGAACTTACTTCACTACATTCCTCACCTAAAATCTCTCAAGCAGTAGGTAACATGTAAGATCTAGTCAAGCTTATTAGGCTAAAAGAGGGTTTGGTTGAGTAAAGACTCAGACAAGACTGGAGCAAACCACAGAGCTTTTGCCCCCAGTATAATGCTCTCCTAATGATGTCATAGCACATTGTAGGATAGACCAGATATCTCTTATTATCTGCAGCTTTCCCATCTAAGATTAAAGACACTATGGATCAGAAATATTCTTTAAAATTTCTAGGAAGTTTTAAGTAGCAAAACTTGAATTTGCCCTCTGCTGAACACTAAGCTAAGTCCATGCGAATCAAATGCAATGTTTTGGGCATAACCCATTGTGGTTTCCCAAGATTTCCCAGCTCTTCAGTACCTCTCTCTAGCACTCAATTCATAGCTCTCACATTGGTGGCAGGGACCCAACTAGTTAGACCATTATTGCTACATCCCAGAGTGTGCATGAGCCAGAAGCCAGAGTCAAGAGTTGGACCCAGGAGTTTGGCTTGAAAACTCATCACTTTTGTGTTGTTGATGTTCTATGCAGTTAGGCCTATGATGATTGTGTTTGTACTGAACATATGCAGAACCTTTACCTTGTAATTGTGGGTAACACAACAGCTGTTCACCTAGCATTTACATTGTATTAAATATTATGAGAAATCTAGAACGCCTTAAAGTACATAGAAATATGTGAGTAAGTTCTAAGGAAGTACTGTGCCATTTCGCATAAGAAACTTGACCTTCCATGGTATAGAGTATAGAGATGAGAGAGCCTGGAACAAAACCCATCAGACACTGAGAAATGGCTGTTTTATAAGAGTTCTCTAACCTGGGCCCAGAGGGATAGCCTAGTGACTAAATCCTTGTCTTGCATCCATCAGGATTCCATCAGGGCACCCGATCATGTCCCAGCTGTTCCACTTCCAACCCAGCTCCCTGCTTGTGGCCTGGGAAAGCAGTCAAGGATGGCCCAAAACCTTGGAACCCTGTACCTGTGTGGAAGGCCCGGTAGATGCTCCTAGCTCCCAGCTTTGGATCAGCTTGGCTCTGGCTGTTGCACCCACTGGGGAGTGAACCAATGGATGGAAGATCTTTCTCTCTGTCTCTCCTTCTCTCTGTAGATCTGCCTTTCTAATACAAATAAATACATCTAAAAAAAAAAAAAGAGTTCTCTAACATGTCTGGACATTTTTTGGGAGGTGTGGGGTGAGGGAGAGGGGAAATATATGCATAGCCTCTATGAATACGGCAAAACAACCATGGAATTGCATATGATAACTATTCCTGTATTTCAAAATGGTTTTGTACTTGGCCTAGTGAGGTAGCCTAGTAGCTAAAGTCCTCACCTTGAACGCATGAGGATCCCATATGGGCAGTGGTTCTAATCCCAGCAGCTCCGTTTCCCATACAGCTCCCTGTTTGTGGACTGGGAAATCAATCAAGGACGGCCCAAAGCCATGGGACCATGCACTCATGTGTGTGGGGGACCTGGAAGAAGCTCCTGGCTCTTGGCTTTGCATTGGTTCAGCTCCAGCCATTGTGGCCTCTTGGGAAGTGAACCATTGGATGAAAGATTTTCCTCTCTGTCTCTCCTCTATATATCTGACTTTCCAATAAATAAATAAATAAATAAATAAATAAATCTTTTAAAAAATTTTGCACCAAAATATACTTATCTTTTAATCTCATCTCCCCATAAACTTTCTGAAGTAACTTCCTATTTGTGCCAAATGTAATCTCAAGACCATTAGCAACTTTTACCAAAGTTCAGATTGGCAGAGTTTAGCTGTCCTTTGCTGCCTCACTCACACATTCTGGGAACTGGATTCTATGAATTTTTCTGAAAAGCTGGAAGGAATTTTAAATCACCTGTAAGATGTAGCTATAATTTTGTGGGTACTGTTTCGTTCTTGCTTTGGGATCCTTGATACAAAGAATTTAGTTGTTCTATGAATTTAAAATTATAGCATGATGATATCACTCCTAAGTACAAATGCATGCATATGAGTCAATGTAGCTGACTATACATATCTAGGCTTCCAAAACGTTTGACAGTAGCTGTCATTTGAGTAATACCATATGAACCAGCATTTTCTTTTTGTTTATTTCTATTACTTGTTTTTGGTAATGGACACATTATATATGTATAATTTGAGGCCCCTTAAATATTATTTTAAAATCTTTATAATGTAAAGACTGGCCTAGAGATGCAGGACACCAAGGCAAGTTGGATGGCACAGTAACAGTTCCTTCAGTTGCTTTAAAAAAAATTCTGACATAATCATATATTATTTATTAAAAAGGTTGAGACTAACTACTTAAAAGTTGAGTAAATCTCCCAGTACACAGATTCACACTGCCAGTGCTAGGGCAGGCAAACTTTCGTGTCCTAACATTTGAGAAGAAAAGTGGTCTGTGGGTTTGTAGGAGGCTAAGTTGCAGGAGGCGGGTCACCAGGCTATGAAAATCTGTTTTCATGGCTGACATCTATAAACTGCCAAATTGCTTGCTTTCAGAATAATTTCTTCTGAGCACCAAAAGCATCTGTCCAAAGAGGGAATTACTTACGTATGATGTTGGGCAATTTTCTCAAAAGAACAATTTATTTACCAGAGAACTAATCCCTAATATTTTACACCTTTTAAATTTATTTTCTATCTCTCAAAAGTCAGTTACTATTATTTTTTTAAGTAAGGTGAATCTGAGTTAAAGCATTAAAATAATTTTCTTACTTTTCCCTCTCCTGTAGAATTAGAAAAGTAACATATGCCTATTGTAACAGACCCAAGCAACTTAGACGCTTACAAAATAAAAACGGAAGTACAAAATACAAAGTGAATATTTTCTCTTAATTTTATCACATGTCAAATACAATCTTTCTAGGCAAAATCTTTCATATTCTGGCATGTATGTTTTCCATGTTTATATAGACATATATGTTAATGTATAAAAGAAAAAGTAAAATAAGACCATATTAATGATTGCTCCATAACTTATTTTTGCCAGTTTTCAATAATTAATAGACATATTTCTAACATATTTAATATATCCTTATTAATAACATTATAGCATTATGCTGCTTGATAATGCAGCAATTTATTTATGCATGTTATTAATGAATATTTGAGTTGTATCTTGTCTTTATTAAAAATGCATGGCCACAAATTCCCTTGTCATATTTCTTGATATATTTGTGAATGATATTTCTAGGAATTACCTTTGTAGTCATGCAGACTTTGTAGTCATGCATGTTGTTTAAAACTTTAGAAAGTGTTTATTTTTTTCAATCTACTTGAAAGAGAGACTGAAATAGTGTCTATCCACAAACATGTTCATCCCCTAAACACCCATGACAGTCAGGGCTGGGCCAGGCTGAAGCTGGAAGGCTAGAATTCCATCCAGGTCACCCACATGGGTGGCAGGGGCCCAACTACTTGTGTCATCACTTACTGCCTGATAGGAGACATTTACAGGAATCCAGACCATGAACAGAGCAGCTGGGACTGGAACCAGTGCTCTTAAATGGGATGCTGGCATTGCAAGTGGCAATGCCCACCTCAGAACACATAATTTTACACTTCAGAGAAAGTCTGAATTTCACCTGTTTGAGCAGGGAGTAAGAGAACAGATTAGAGCATTCTTTGGGGTTTGGAGTGTGAACATTACACCCTGAAGTCTGGCCCTGGAATCTGACACAGCAGGCATCTGTCCAGTTAGAGTTTCTGGAAATGGCTGGACTCTGTGGCCATCATTATCTAGCATTCAAACATGTGGCAGGCAAGTTATGTGTGGAGATGGAAAGACAGCACATTATCTGGATCAACTCGTGCTTTGAGAACTGCGATGGCAAGAGGGATTTAAATCAGTTGCAGTGGTGATCAGTATAGCTTCATGGATGCTTCAAACAGAGCAGACAGGTCTTCTTCCGACTGGGGACGGGGTGCAAGCTTGGTGACTCGTTCCTGCAAGAGTAAGTAAAAGCACTCACCCTGGACTTCAGGAAGACAGTTTCTAAAAGCTGTTGAATGATGCACATTAATTCTGTCATCAGAGAACAACCCAACAGCAGCCACATTTTGGGCACCTCATACCAGGTCATGTCCAATTCAGAGGCATACCAATCAGGTCATGCCTCTTTCCCATTGCTCCTTGCCTTCTGCCATCAGCAGAAGGTTGTAAAGTTGCAGAGGCAAACCAGCCTTGGGGAAAGCACCAGTTATGATGACCAACTGGGTTAGTCAATGACCCCAACCATGTTCTCTGTGCAGTTCACTGCCAGCACAGTGAGAGCTGCCAAGGAAGACAGCTGGGTGTGCTTGAATTCTAAGACCACGTATTTGTAATTTGGACTTGAGGTATATTCTAAAGGACTACAGTAGAGCATGAACTTTTAGGTAGGGCATAACAAGTAATACATGCCTATTTTATTTTATTTTTTTATTAACCAGCTGGTCCAGGGGTTGGCTTAATTTCTCCAGTGATTGCTAGGAATCGAGTCTGTGATGACAATCACCACATCCTGGAATTATTCATACTGCCTCTTTATCCTTAGAACATGGGACTAAAAATCAGTGCTGTAACTACCCCCAGAACCTAAAGAAAATAAAGAAATGTGCCATTTGGGGGTTTCTGTTTTCCTGAGTCTCTGTGACTGTTTTCTGGTGACAAGCAGATGTTTGGGAGCACACCTGGTAAGAGGAAGGCTGCGTACCAGGGCTGGTTGGCCACTGCACTGCTCTCTGCCTTGAGCCCACCAGAGGACTTGGTGCAGTTGGTTAGGGGCTCCTTACTTGGCTGCTGAATTCGAGGATGGCCACAAGGGACTACAATATCTCCAACTACATTTGCACACAGAACTGTCTCTCCCCATGCCTCCCACTTTCCTCATCTTAGAAATGAGAGCCAGCAGCTTGGGCAGACACCCAGTAGCCAGCCTTGAGTCCACTTTCCCTCACTCTGCAAGTTCATCCATCATGAGTCTCCACAATCAATCCCTAGTCCAAGCACTTCTCACCTTCCCTGTATCACTTAAGGCACTAAAGTCCTGGGGTGCCTGTCTGCTGGAAGCCATGCAGAGGTCTTCACTCTTGCTCCATCCATGCCTACTGGAGGTTAGAGTACTTTTTGTTCCTCCTCTAAATCAGATCACATCATTCCTGGGTTTTCTGTTCTGGGATCATCTCTTGCTGGCATCTCACAGCTCTGATCAGGCCTTGCTTCACACCTCGACTCTCACCCTTCCTTCAGTGGTCCTTCATCCCTTTTCAGAGTAACAGGATGCTGACCTTGACCCTGTCCCAGAGATGTTCCCCTGGTCTGCATTGGCAAGAATTTTCCAGTCTGCATGGCTTCCCTGTTCTCAGTGGAGATCTCGCCCCTGGTACCCAGAGGTGGCTCTCTCTTACTTCCCAGGCATTCCTGCAAACCCACCAATCCTTCTCTGGAATAATTTTACTCCCATTATCTTATTAACAGATGTCCACTGCCTGTCTTCCCTTCTCTAGAACCCAACACAAATGCAACCTTATTTCCTTTCTTTCTGTGTCTCATGCAAAGCAAAGTCTATGGTGAATCTCAATGAGGATTTGTAAAGTGAAAGAAGGAATGGAAAGAAGGAGAATGTATTTTAAAAAATCAACTCAAAATTAATCTACAGTCTTATTGCAACAGGCCAACATTCTAAAGCTCTTAGAAGAACAGAGGAAAAACTTCACGGCTTTGGATTCGGTAGTGACTTCTTGGCTGGGACACCAAAAGCACAGGCAGCAGATTAAAAAAAAAAAAAAACAAGAAACTGGCCCACCACATCAAAAAGTAAACTTGGGGCTGACATATTGGCTCAATTGGCTGATCTTCCACTTTTGGGTGCTGGCTGGCATCTCATATGGGTGTTGGTTCATGTACTGGCTGCTCCACTTCCCATCAAGGTCCTTGTTAATGGCCTGGAAAAAAACAGTTGAGGATGGTCCAAAGCCTTGGGACCCTTCACCCAAATGGGAGACCTGGAAGAAGCTCCTGGCTCCTGGTTTTGGATCAACTCAGTTCCAGCTGTTGAGGCTATTTGAGTAGTGAACCAAATCTTTTCCAATAAACACAAATAAATCTTTAAAAAAAAATTAAAAGCTTTTGAGTCTTGGTGGGCAAGAGAGTGAAAAAATCCACAATACAGCAAAAAAAAAAAAAATGCCTTCCAATCACAGATGTGACAGGGGATTAATCACTGGAATATAAAAACTATTTGTATAGCTCAATAACATCCTCTTTGCCCTGCACTCCTAACTCAGCTGAAAAAAAAGAGCAAGGGAGATGAACAGATATTTTTCCAAAGTAAGTATGTAAATGTCAATAAACTTGAAAAGATGCTCCACATCATTAATGTTAGAAATGCAAATCAATGGGATACCACTTCACACCCGTTAGGCTGGCTATTAAGAAAATAAAAAATAGCCCAACAAATTGATAAGAATTAAATGTTACTATTTTTAGTAGTATCTGCCTTTGTGACTGTTTAACGGTTTACATGAGTGAGGCTGAACATGTTTTCCCTTGATTATTGTTTACGCACATGACTGTTTTCCTACTGGACAGCTGTATTTCCGCCTTTTATTTGATGGCCTCCCTTTATTTTAATGGAGCCAATAGCTTTTGACCCTAATGCACATTTAAAATGTTTTCTCAATGGACCCTATGCAGTAGCCTAGTGGCTAAAGTCCTTGTCTTGCATGTGCTGGGAATCCCATATGGGTGCCAGTCCTGGATATCCTGGATATCCTGGATGCTCCACTTCCTATCCAGCTCCCTGCCTGTGGCCTGGGAAAGCAATCGAAGATGGCCCAAAGCCTTGGGACCCTGCACTCATGTGGGAGACCCAGAAGAGCTCCTGGCTTTGGATTGGCTCAGCTCTGGCCATTGAGTCCACTTGTGGAGTGAATCAATGGACAGATAATCTTTATCTCCCCTTCTCTCTGTATATCTGCCTTTCCAATAAAAAGAAATAAATCTTAAAAAAAGTTTTCTCAAAAAATAATAAAACTTTTTAATAAAGGAAAATAACAAGTGTTAGCAAGGATGTAGAGACACTAGAAATATTATGTAAATGGAAAGGTTAAAGGGTTCAGCCCCTGTGGATGGTAGTTTAGTATTTCCTCAGGAAACTAAACACAGAATTACTGTCTGGCTCAACAATGCTATTGCTAGGTATATAGATGAAAGACTTGACAGCAGGGACTCAAATAGATACTTGGACATCACACTGCACAGCAGCACTGGGCATATTAGCCCCCTGGTGGAAACAACCCAAATGTCCATCAACAGATGAGTGCATAAGCGGACGTGGTATATCATCCAATGGAATATGATTCGTCCACATAAGGAATGCAATTCTAATGCCTGCTGCATTGTGAATGGACCCTGAAGACATTATGCTGAAAAAAGCCAATCAATCACAGAAGGAGGATTATTGTAAGAGTTCACTTATACAAACTATCCTGATGACAGGCATATCCAGAGGGGTTATGGTTTAACGTGTATAAGAGCTCCTGTTCAGGATGATTGAAACAAAATTCTGAGAATAGTTAACAGTGATTGTACATTGTGGATATCCTTGATGGCACTGAATTGCCACTTAAAATGGTCAGATGATAACACTTATGTATATTTTACCACAACTTACAGAATAAATTTAAAAAGAAACAGAAGGAAGGCTGGACAGGTGAACACATGAGAGAACGCTGTAGAGAAAGGGTGTGACCAGGGCAAAATGTACATTCTCGCAAGCGTTTTAGAGACCCTGAGGAATTAAGAAAATCAGCAATAAGTGCACCTGTTCATGGGCTACAGTGTGACAATTTCAATATGTGGTGTGGCGTTTCAACTGGTGCACAGAGCATCTACATTTCCTCTTCTTTGACATTATGATTGAGGCTGGGAGCTTCCTTCTTGGCTTGCTGAAGAAATAGACACTAAGCTGTCTTGATCTGTAGTTTCTCTATTATGTTGTATACTGCTAGAAACTTATTCCCTTGATGTAACTCTGATTTGGTACCCATTTGTGATATCTGTCTTTCTGTATCTGGCTTATTTCACCTAACATGGTGTCCTCTACTTCCAACTATTTTGCTGAAAATGACAGGACTTCATTTTTTATGGCTGATTAACATTCCATTGTGCATAAATACCACATTTGCTTTAATCGTGCATCTGATGATGGGCACTTTGGTTGATTCCATATCTTGGCTATTGTGAACAGTATTGCAGTAAGCATAGTAGAGCAATTATCTCTTTGATACAATCATTTCTTGCTTCTGGATCCATATTTCTAGTTTCGTTTTTCATTTTTTTTAATCTCCACACTGTTTCCCACAGTGGTTGTACTAATTTATATCCCCACTACCAATAGTGTATAACATTTTCTGTCTTTTTGAGACTAGCCAGTCTTACGGGGGAGGGGAGGAAGGCAATATTTCATTGTAGTTTTGATTTGCATTTCCCAGATGGCTTGTGATGCAGAATATTATTTTGTCAGATCTGTGGGCCAATTGTATTTCTTCTCTTGAGAACTATCTATTCGGATCCTTTTCCCAATTCTTGACTGGTTGTTTTTGTTGTTGTTGTTGTTGTTGTTGTTGCTGAATTTTTTAAAATTCCTAACATATTCTGGATTTTAATCCTTAGTCAGATAAGTAGCTTGGAAATGTTTTGCTCCATTCTGTTGGATGTCTTTGTGCTCTGGAATTTTGAATATCCCTGTGAAGAAGGCAGAGACCATTCACTGCTGTGTGTCCTGTGGCAGGGTCAGGAGTGAAGTTCCTAGGTGGGTGTTTGCTGCACTGGGTAAGCTGCTGCCTGGGACACCTACACACCACACTGGAGTGTGCAGGTAGGAGTCCTGGCTCTTCTTCAGATCCAGCTTCCCGCTAATGCACTCCCAGGGAGGCAGCAGACGATGGCTTAAGTACTTGGCCCTTGCTAATCATATGGGGCCCAAGTTGTGTTCCTGGTTCCCAGCTCCAGATCTGGTCTTAAGCCTTTAGGTAATAAGCCAGTTAATGGAAGAGCTCTTCCCTTCTTTTCTGTTTGATTTTCAGATATTAAATACAAAATTTCAGGGTCAGTGTTAACGGCCCAGAGAGTTGGACTGCAGCCTTCAATAGCCAACCTGCTATATAAATGCTTGTTTGAATCCCATCTACTCCGCTTCCAATTCTATGCTGGTGCACCTGGGTGGCATAAGTGCTTGGGCCCCTGCTAAGCACATGGAAAATCAGGATGGAAGTTAAGGCTTCTGGCTTTTTTCAGGACCAGTCCCAGCTGCTGCGGACATTTGAGAAAAGAACCAGCAAATAGATCTCTCTCTCCCTCTGTCTCCCTCTCTCCATATATTCACTTTTCTCTTTCAAATAAAAATAAAAAGGAAACCATCATGAAATTGCAATGTATAGTGATAGAGTAATGGAGAATACCATATCCAGAAGTGAAGACACAATACAACATGCATCTCTGCTTTCAAACAAAAGCTGGACTCCCAATGAAGAGTTGGATATATCTAGACAATGGGATGATGGACTGTCTGACAGTGTCTGTACCAGCAGTGTCCTGGTACACTTAAATGCAGACTGATGGGATTGTAGCTACTTATGAAGAAATGTACTGTTGTGTCCATATGGGAAAAATCAGTCAGCGATTAGATATTGGAGGGGAGGGGAACCCCAGACTATACAGAATTGTATGATAAAATTCAAAAATTAAAATAAAAAAAATAAAATAACTCTTTGTTAAAGGGTTAAAAAAAACCCAAGCCCTGAGGTTCAGCTTTGCTATGACTGCCCCATTATTCTGTTATGACAGGGGTGTCTCATCTGAGGAGCTCAAAAGCCCTTAACAGGATCTTGTTTATCTTTGGAGAAGCAGCTCAGGACTCTCCCAAGTATCTGAGTGAATGGTTAACTAGGCAAGGGTACAGAGTCTGTGGCATGACTCTCACATGGTGGCTATGCCAGATGAAAGCTAAATCATCTTGGAGTTGGGAAATGTCAAGAAATGTGCTATCTTTCAGAGGCATGAAAAACAAGAACAAATAATTAACATGGGCACTGACATAAATCCAGACTTCTACTTTTAGCACATTCATAAAATAACATTTCAGCTGGCCTTTCTACCGGGGGGAGGAAGTGCTCATTTGCGTAGCCAGCGCTCCTCGGTAATGAAATGTTTTGATTTGCAACGTAAATGTTTCTTTCAGGGGTTTCAGAAATCCAGCTTGGATGATTAATTTACTCTTGCCCGCTCCCTCTGTGGCCTGGCTGTGGCAGTTGGAAGCCTCGGGACACAGCACAGCTATTAGCTGCCACCAAGACAAGCTGTCGTGCTTGGTCAAGAATACTGGCCTGGTTGTTCGTTCCAGAGAAAACTGAGTGCTCACTGCTGAACATAAAAGCTCCTTTATCAAACGCTGACCACATGGAATAACCTTTCTAGCAGTATTCTTTGCAGGAACCAGGATATCCTTTTCACTGCCTTAAACCCTGTGGACACTAATAAGTGAAGATTAGTCTACTAGCTGTATAACATTTTGTGGATGTTGCCGTAGTGATCCCGTAACATTCTCACTGAGGCCAAAAACCGAAACTAAAACTCCATAGTAGTTCTTCATCTGCAGAGCAGACAAGCTCATTTCTAAGATTTCCTCCAATACCTTAGGAATCTTGAAGTACTTGTGACTATGTATTACAACCACATTGACTTCATGTGGAACTAGTATTAACTAAAATCAACTAGGCTTCTCCTAATTATGAAAATTTAATCAAAGGTGAAAAAGAAGGGCAACATTCACCTTGGCACTGCAATATAAATGCAGCTGGAGGAAAAGCAGGCTTCTGACTCTAAGACAGGGCTAACATTCAAAAGAGTTCACTTAGCTCTTACCTCTTGTGAAACTAATACATTTACTTTGTGTAAGGAAGGTTTGGCTGTCTGATTTCCCAATATCACATATACATGGAAGCATCCAGAATGACTCCCAATTAACTTGGTGTTTGGATGATCTCAAATGTTAGTCTCTATCTGCTGCCACATGTGGGGGGGAAAAAAACCTCTTGAATGTGAAAGTCTGGGGGAGGCTATTTGGTTCAGTAGTTAAGTTGCTTCTTGGGATGCCTGCTCCCATATCAGTGTCTGCGTTGGAGTTTCGGCTTGATTCCAGCTTCCTGCTAATGCACAGTCTGGCAAGCAGTGGGTGATGGCCCAAGCAGGAGGGCACCTGCCACACACAGGGAAGACTTGGATTATGAGGAGTCAATCATGGGTGGGACGAGAGGTCTCAGTCTATCTCTGCCTCTCAAAACAAACAAATATATCTTACACAGTTTCATCTAAGAATCACGGATATGTGATTCTCAGAGGTAGAAAAACACATTCTTCTGGACTCTTTCCTGGACTAAGCTAGTGAAACTTTTAGGAAGTTCTTTTGCAGAACATTAAAGTCATGGTGACCACCCACCTTATATCCTTGGACACCCACATCCTCAGTGGAGTCCTCTTTGTGTTAGGAAGCTTGTCAAAAACTGACTACTGTTTTGGCATTAAGCTCACCTGGACAGAGAGGGTTGTAGGCCTGTTTTCAGTGAACAAATTTGTGTTTGATACAACAAAGGTTGGATGAGCAGACAGATTCTTGCTCTCATGGAACTAAAGTTTCTATTAAGTCGTGGGTTTTGGGGGGTATTTAGTTCCTTAGATTTAATGGTTAGAACTAAGGATTTATGAGTTAGTTCAAGGACTGTGTTGTATTTTGAAGCTCATTCATTTATATTTCTCATCCATTTATATTTTTAGTGATGGCTACCCAGAGCACTGGAGGCAAGGGGCAGGTTCCACTCCAGACCTGGCATGTCGCCTAGGCCAGGACCAGGAGGGGTCACAGGAACCAGTTATGTCACTGGCCTGCTGGGATTAATGACACACCTGAATGGACATTCCTTACCTAATTAGGGCATACACAGCCCTTTTACCTGCCCCCCATGTCCAGAGAGGTATAAAACTCTCCAACATGCATCTCAGCTGCCCTTTCGCTTCCTGCCTCTTTCCTCCATGCTGCGTGAAGAGGGCCCAGGAGTGGATTTTCCAAAAAAGCTTTCATAACAACTTTGGACAATTTGCTGATATCATTCCACCAGTGGGTGGTCATCATCTAACATTTAGATACAGCTGCATCCACTGATTCTGAATGCAAGCAAGGGAAACTGGTAGTTCAAGGTCTATGTTTTGTTTTTAAATTGGGAAACCAAGGAATTCAAGTCAAATATCCAGATGGTTGATTTTTTTTTCTCTTCAAAGTTGGAAGCTCTATCAACTTGAGGACCTGCGTTTCAGCTTTCTAATAATCAGTTATAGCTGAACAGCTGCTCATCCTATTAAATGGGTCACACACTTGCCGGGCCAGCCAAGTCCCCACCACTCCCTATTGGATTAAATTATTTTGCTTGTGGAGATTACCTACCTTGTTCCCGTGGACATAAGAGTATATAAGTTTGTGAATCCAATCTTATAGATTTTATTTTCTTAAAAAATGTTTAATTTGAAAGGCGTGTGCGCGCACACACACACACACACAGACACGGAGAAAGAAAGAGGAATAAGGGAGAAGCTAGAAGTCAGGAACTCCACTTGAGTCTGCCATATAGATGGCAAGGCCCTAAGCACTTGAGCCATTATCTGCTGCCTTTCACAGTGCAAATTAGCAGAAAGTTGGAAATGGGAATGGAGCTGGGACTTAAACCCAGGCACTCTGACATGGAATGAAGGCACCCCAGGTGGCATCTTAGATAATAGGCCAAACGCCTGCCTCTGTATGTGAGTGAGGTGAACATTGGAGCCACTGATAAGGTGGGGCAGAAGATGCTAGCTTGAGTTGGTTACTTACATTGCTTGCAGATAAGAGATCTCTCAGGGTACGGAGCAGGATACACTCCACCAATCAGAGCTCAGGGCTCTGAACTCTCTCCTTGGTGGTGAATTGCATTAAATAGGATTTGGTCTGTTAGAATCAGTTCTCTTTACCAAAGCTTTTGCAGAGGACACTTTTCAACTACTACGATTGTATTGAATAAAGGATGGCAGCTCTGTTTCTTTCTTTGGCAGCATTTAAATAAATAAGACCCAAAGTGACACAGATATGTATAAAATACACAATTTCCCAAATTCATTTAGAAGCAATTTTGGTAACAGCTTTGATTTAGAGAACAGGCCTATTCACAAAATAGTAGTATCTGTAACTTTTTTTCTTTCTCAGTGGAAAATAATACTAGTGGTTCTTTTGGAACACCGTCATATAGTTTTTACAGGGGCCCTTGGACGAATAGAAATGGGGAACAGGGAAAATAGAGTCACAGCTCAAGAGCCACTGGTGGGCTTGCCCTGAATTTTCATAAAGGATCCTTTCAGCTGCACTGAGAAAGTTTCCCTGGGAGCCACAGTTTTATGGAAGAACATAACAGCAAAGGGGCCTTGGCCCTTACCACTAGGAAAGGGGAGAATTACTATGTGGTGCTCAGAAGACCTGAGTACTGCCAGGGAACCCCAGGATTTCCATCCCCCTAACACACCCGAATGGTGCATGCCTTTTTCTGGAAGCTCTGGCTTTCTCAGCAGGGAATGAAACACACACCATGTCTCTTACCTGGGGCAGCGTGCCTTTCACTAGAGCAGGGATGTCGGCCTTAGAGTAACCAAGGGCAGCTAGGCCATCGTCAACATCCAGATCGAATAAGAATTTCCGGAGCGCATCTGCCAGCACTGGCCCAGCATCCTGGGTCCTGGTAGTGCGGGTGTCGGCTCCTGGAAGACACAGAGCGCCAAGGGTCGAAAACAAGGAAGCAGTAGGTTCTCGGTGTCATTCAGGCACAAGATCAGCTGACTGGATCATGTGCACTGGTACAATCTCCCTAGCGCCAGGACCAAGGGCACCTCTGCATCAGTCCTATAGGAGACACATGGGTAGGGCCAGGTTCAGAGCCATTGAGAGCCTCTGTAAGACAGGGCAGCCCATGGCACTCGGGTGGCTTCTTTGATTTCCCAGGGACCTCCAGTGCCCACAAGCTCGGACCTTGTGTGGTGGGGAAAAGGAGCAGAGCCAGGAAATGGCCAAGAAAGAAGGCTGGTGTTGGGACACAGCACATGTGGGTTTCAAGGTCTGGGGTTTGCTGACATCTAGAGGCACACATGTTCAATGTCTTTTTCTCGCAGCAACAACCTAGGAAAAAAAGACATTTTTTGCAAACACCTTGTGAGACAGGGATCTAGAAACACAGCATTCTAGAAGAAAAGGAGTATGGCAAGAAATGATTTGTTTAGGACCAGGAAAAAGAATGTTTGCGTTTGGACTCTGTTCCAGAGGGGTGCAGTGTGAGCACTAAGTGCTACTGCAACACCTGGGCAGAATCAAGAACATGGAGGTGCTCAGAAAACACCATGCTAGGGCCCGGCCGTGTGGCCTAGTGGCTAAAGTCCTCTCCTTGAATGCCCTGGGATCCCATATGGGCACCAGTTCTAATCCTAGCAGCTCCACTTCCCATCCAGCTCCCTGCCTGTGGCCTGGGAAAGCAGTTGAGGACGGCCCAAAGCCTTGGGACCCTGCACCCACCTGTGTGGGATTGGCTTCAGATCGGCATAGCATCGGCTGTTGCGTTCACTTGGGGAGTGAATCATCGGATGGAAGATCTTTCTCTCTGTCTCTTCTCCTCTATGTATATCTGACTTTCTAATAAATAAATAAATCTTTGGAAAAAAAAACCCCACTGTGCTAAATGTAGTAATCATGAAGATGGTAAAGCGGGAAGAAGGTTGCCGAAGGGTAAGGATCTGTACGGCAGGAATTTTTGTTTTCAGATATATTTATTTGAGAGGCAGAGTTAGAGGCAGAATCTTCCACTCTCCAAAGGGCTGCAACAAGGCGGCCTGGGTCAAGTTGTAGCCATCTGGGTCTCACAGGGGTGTAGGGTTTGAAGCACTTGGACAATCTTCTTCTGCTTTCCCAGATGCATTAGTAAGAAACTGGATCAGAAATGGAACAACTGGAACTCGAACCTGGCCCAGATTAGATGCCAGTGTTACAGGCTGTGGCTTAACATGACATACCACAACTCTAGCCCCAAGAGCAGAATTTTACCTCTGTAATTAATATACCTAAACACAGAAATATCAATGTGGAAGTGCCCTGGGCTTCTGCCTTCAAACAGTTTTACAGTGAAAGTTTCCAAAAGGAAGTGAATTTGTCTTCCCCTGCCCATCTATTCTGGTCAAATGCTTCACAGCCAAGCAGCTAAGCTCTTTACAAACAGAAAGGAGCCTGACATGAAACTCATCTGAAATGCCTGACCTGTGGTCCAAATAGCCATGGTCTAGGGCCGTGTTCAGAGATCAGGGTATACGGTTCTCCTCTACACTGAAACATATTAATAAAAGAGTTTTAGCCTTTCTCTTCTATGAGTAGAACTGCTTTAGCACCCCAGGAAAAGGGATGAATAGAGTCAGGCACCAGCTTCACTAGGGTAGCGGCTGATTCAGGGCAAACCTTGCCTGACAAAAGCACTAAAATCTGGACGAACTAGAGGAATGGTACATAACTGGGACTTATGAGGTTTGTTGTTAGAAAACACACTTTCAAAACTGCTGGGTTTTTGTAGTGAATCAGGGAAGAAAGAGAGAGAGAGAGAGAGAGATGGAGAAAGAATGCACAGGCCTAAAACTAAGAAAATCTGAAATTACATAGGGAATCAAACTATTTAATAAGTAGGGATGGAATTCTATGAAAAGGTCCTACACAAGAATTAGTGAGTTCTTCCAGCCTAGATAATATCTAACAGAGGCACTGCATTTTCAGCCATGTTGCAAGTTGCCTGGAACATGAATTTGACATTCTCTGTAACTTTCCATTTATCACAAAACCTAGCCTCTGACTTGGGCTTCCCATTGTTTATGCTGTTGGCATATTTGCAAGGCAGCTGAAACCAAACACCTACAATCCTAAAGGGAAGAGATGCAAGATCCTTGGCCGAGCGGCCACTGTTTTCCTGCAGCTCATGCTGGAAACTCAGCCTCCCTGTCTTGGGTTTCTGTTAACAATCTTGCAGCACAGAGAGGCCTGGGCAGGAGCACACAAATAGGCGGTGGCGAGTGTGTGCGTGTGTGCGTGTGTGTGTGTGTGTGTGTATGTGTGAGAGAGAGAGAGAGAGAGAATCAAAGGGGAGCGGGCGCAGTGCCCAGAGGGCTGTCTGTGGTCAGGCCTCATGCCTGGGAAGCGCCTCTCCAACGGCTGCAGCTAGGGCATAATAAGGAACTCTTTCTCGCCTTTCCCTTCCTACCCTCAACCCAAGCAGGGGAACATGGTATTTTGCAAGGGAATCCAACACTCATGCGAACCTAAAAGAGTTCTTGTTTCAATAAATCATCAAAATGTAATTTCCACCAAAGAGCTCCTGAATCAAGATTTATTTCTGGTAAGATTTCAAAGGCAGCATGTGTATCTTACTTACAGATGTTATTTATTCTAGAGTACAGCAAATAGATGCCTCTCTTGGGTATTTTATAAAGTCGCTAGTTATTTAGATTGTCAATGGTTGGGAATTTACTCTTGTTTCCTGATTGAGATTCTCTTTATTATCAAATTACACGTAGCCAAAGCTGTCTATAACATGAACAGTACGCCAAGAGCACCAAGAGTTTCAGCCCTCTCCTCGACGGCTGAAAGCAGAGGAAAGAGCATTACTACAAACTTTACAGATTTGATATTTGCTTCTGTTTCATCGTTACTAGATCATCAACAGCATGACATCACGATATTTAATGCCATATGGAACATGGAGCAAGCCACTGACATCTAATTGAATTGTCCTAAAGCAACACTGTTGAGTATTGTCTCTTATGATTCCTCTTCAGAAGTAATCTCAGCATAGGGCTGGTGTTAAGCTGTCACCTGAATCCCATATGGGCAGCAGTTTGAATCCTGGCTGTTTCACTTCCGATCTAGCTTCTTGCCATTGGGAAGGCAGTGGAGGATGGCCCCAGCATTTGGACCCTGATACCAATATGGGAGACCTGCAAGAGGTTCCTCCTGGCTTTAGCTGGCCCAGTCCCAGCTGCCGTGACCATTTGGGGAGTAAATCAGTGGATGGAAGATCTTTCCCTCTGTCTCTCCCCTACCTCTCTCTGTAAACTATGCCTTTCAAATAACAACAACAACAACAACCCCAGCAAAAGTTTTAGGAGAAACAATGCATACCAAATATTTCCGCCGTCTCCAGGTGCCGCTCTGGAAACATCTGCGCCGTGAATGTGAACACGGCGGGAGAGGTGAGCACCACAGACAGGCCGTGAGGCTGTGGAGAAACCAACGGCAAAGCTGTTCTTCCTGCACAGCCTAGCTACTGAGCAGCTTCACTCTGTACACCCAACAGTTGAGAATCGACAAACATACTTACAAAAATTTTAAGACGTTAGGATTTAATTTAAAAATATACTGTTATGATCTTTACCACCAGTGGGTGATCCACATCATAATCCTTGGCTTTGTATGTCTTCACTAAGCCTGAAATTGGGTAAGACATCCCATGGCTAGAAGAGAAAGAAAACCTTATGCTGATATGCAGATACCAAAATTCAAGTTATACATCCTGTTTTCTTTGGGATAGGAAGAGCTATATACATCCTTATATTTGATGGTTAGTGTGTGCATCAAGAAAGCCATGTTCAAATTTCAATGATCATTAATGTCATTCAATGACATACAAGCTGGTTCCAAAAATGATCTGTCTCAACAACTGACAGGTCCTTTCAAATGTACTGTATTAACGAAGTGGAATGATATATGCCTACCAGCAATCTAAGGCTATGTCAGTTAACTCTAGACTGACTTCTCTTGCCTGAATTCCAACTTGAGGATTTATTAGGTTCAATTGTCATCAAGAAAAAGCATCATAGTTTTTGTTTTTATTGAAAATTTCTTTATATTCTCTTGAATTTGTAATGAACTCATAGGAAAAATTAAGTTTGAGAGCTCAAAAGACAAACATTATAAAATTAACATGCTATAATTAATGTGAGGAATTCTGAGTTTATGAAAATATGTATCACAAACACTATGGAAATGAGATTTTAGCCTTGTGGGTTTGATTCCCAGCTCTAGCTCCTGTCTCTAGCTTCTGGCTAATACAGATCCTGGGAGGCAATGGTGAAGACTCAAACAACTGCATTCCCGCTACCCATGTGGGAGGGCTACATTGCATTTCTGATTCCAGCCTTAGCTCAGGCCCAGTCCTAGTCCAAGGTCATTCAGGGAGTGAACCAATAGGTGGGAGTTCTCTATATCTGTCTCTCTCTAAAAAAAAAATTAGCATTTAGAAATTATCTGAGGGTTGGTGCTTTGGTATAGCGAGTAAAGCCACTACCTATGATGCCAGCATCCCATATAGGTGCTGATTGGTATCCTGGCTGCTCCACTTCTCATTAGGTTCCCTGCTAATATCCTGGGAAGGGCAGTGAAACATGTGGGAGGCCCTTGTTGCAGACCCAGGTAAAGGGTACAACTTTGGCTGGCCTCAGCTGTGGCCACTGTAGCCACTTGAGGAGTGAATCAGAGGATGGAAGATCTCTCTCTGTTTCTCCCTCTCTCTCAGTAACTCTGACTTTCAAATAAGTAAATCAATCTTTAAAAATTTTTTTTATAGATTTCAAGATTTTTGTACCAAAACAAGCTTCTTTTTATTCTATTTTTTCCCATTAACTTTTGATGCTTTATTTTTTAAAGTTTTTTTTTTAATTGGAAAGGCAGGTTTATAGAGAGAAGAAGAGACAGAGAAAACGGTCTTCCATCTGCTAGTTTACTCTCCAGATGGCCACAATGGCAAGAGGTGAATTGCTCTGATGCCAGGAGTTTCTTTCATTCTCCACATAGTTGCAGGGTCCCAAGGCATTTGGCCATCCTCTGCCGCTTTCTTAGGTCACAAGCAGGAAGCTGGATGGGAAGTGGAATAGTCAAGATATGAACTGGCACCCATTTTGGATGTTGCACTTGGAGGTAGAGAATTAGCCAGTTGAGCCACTGTACTGGCCCATGATGCTCTATTTTATATTGAAAACAGAATTTGACAGTGCTGTAAACTTTTAATGTGTATTTCTGGTTAATTCTGTGTTTATTAAGCAAAAATTTTACAATTTATGGACGAAGTGTTTTGGTAAACTCTTTGAATGTATGTTCAAAAAAAGGTGTTCCCTACTGGCTCTTTTGAGTTCGTGGGTAGTTTGAAAACTACTTTTCCTCTTTTACTTTCAAAATTATTGCCCAATGCCTTTTCATGATGTGATACCAACTTTATGACCACATTGTGTATCTGTATTTGGTTTATATGTTGTTTTTGTTTGATATTCCTTGAAAATATTTTCCTATGAGATTTTTCTGTTCAAAAGCACTATTTTCAATGGGCATATTTTATCCATTATTTACCGTAGTTTAGTTAACTGTTTTCAAAATATTGGAAATTTAGGTTTCTTACACATTTATTTTCAGTTATAAATAACACTTAGGTGAATATCCTTATAAGGAAATAATTTTAGCAAAGCCATGGATGTTTCTTTAGGCTAGATTCCTAGAAGTGAATTAGTGGGTCAAGTGTCATAAATGTTTTCTTGCTCTGGGTTGTACTTTGGTCACTTACACACTGGAGAGACATTACCAATTAACGCTCCTATCAGCCTCGGACAGGATGCCATTTCATGGCACTTGACCTAGACAAGGATTACTTTTCGTTTTTTACTTAAAAGAAAATTTATTTATTTGTTTGAAATGCAGAGTTTCAGAGTCAAGGAGAAGCACTGAAAGAGATTTTCTATCTGCTGCTTCACTTCCCAAATGACTGCAACAATGTCCAGAGCTGGACCAGACTGAAGCAGGCCCAGGAAGCCTTAGCTGTGTATTCTCTATGCATGCAGGGGCTCAAGTATTAGACTACTTTTTGCTATTTTCCAGGCACAGTAGATACTAGGTTGCTAGATCAGAAGTGGAACAGTTGGAACTTGAACTGATGCTCAGATGAGATGCTTAACTAAGCTTAAGTAGGTGCACCACAGTGCTACCCTGCAAGATTACTCTTAAGTGTTAGTGGTCACTGGTTTTAAGTTATAACTATAAAACTTAGCTATTACAAAAATTCTGATCCTTTTCTATTGGTTAGAGATTAAGGGGAAATTTTTGCTTTTGAGGTTTTAAAAATTCACATCACATGGTGAGGCTATGGAGCAAGCAGAACTTTCATCCATGATGGTGGGAACAGAAAATGGCACAGAAGCTATGCGAAACGATTGGCAGTTCCTCATTCAAACACGGAGCTACTGTAGGACTCAGCGTTCTACTCTTATGTATCCAACAACAGAAATGAAAACATCTGTCTATGCAAAAACTTGCACTTGAATGCTCAGGACATTACTCATAATAGTCAAACATGATAATAGCCTAAATGTCCTTCAACTGATGAAGGGTTAAGTCAAGTGTGGTATATCCAAAGTAGTGGAATATCATCTGGCAGTAAAAAGGAATGAAGCGCTGACACATGGATGAACGCTGCAAGTATTTCGCTGTGTAAGACAAGGCAGATACAGAACACTATGTATAATGGGATCGTATGAAATTTCCAGAATGGAGAAATCTACCAACATAGGAAGTAGATTGGTTAGTATTGAGGGGAAATAGTGATCACAGCTAGATGTATGAGACTTCTTTTAGAGAGTGAAAAAGGGCTCTAAAATTAGTTGTGATGGTTACATAACGGTATAAATACTAAGAATGATTCAATTGTACATTTTAAAAATGTGACCTGTATGGTACATGACTTGTAGCTTGAAAACCTGTTACTAAAAGAAAACCCGTGATCCAATAAACCACATTTGAATTAAGAAAACATTTAGGGACCTAAAGTTCAATTTCTTCCTCTACAAAACATTTAAAATGTATTGCTTGCTTTACTAAACTGACAGCAATACCTTAAGCAAAACAACAAAATCTCAAATTTGCTCACCACAGATGAACACCAGCATTTCCAAATCCAATGCCAGCAAAAGTGCTTGCCAAATGCATATTAGACCTTGCTTCAAGATCATCGGGATTTCTGACAGCCCTGTGGATGATATGAATACTTAACAATAACATGTCAACACTGGCATTTTCTACTGAATAAGGAGCTGCCTTTAGGGCAAGATCTGGAAAAAAAAAAAAAGGAAATGTTAATGCTACCTAGGAAGAAAAATTAGGCAAGTTATTCAACTGACATCTTGTCTTCTAAATGAAAACTGAAGGGCAATATATTTTCTCATCAATGGCTTTAGCAGAAGCATAATAAATACAGTGTCAGGCTGCTCCTGCGACATGGGAGTGTGGGCGAGGCAAAGCCTGGATCCCTGGATGGTGAGAGCCGCTCTAGCAAGTATACGAGAACCATTCTTCTTCTTCATTTGTCAATGACTTTGATGGCTGCCATGTATGAACTAGGAAAAAACACATTCTCAGAAAACACAGGGCAAGGAGGACTGAAGTGAGCCCCAATTCCCCTGGGACTGGCTGTAGGACAAACCCAGCCCACCTGGCCCTTTTTCTGTGACTGCCCCAAATCAGAACCCCCAGAAGCCCCTTTGGGAACCGGTAGAAACCCTGTACTCATGCTAATATGTAGAAGGGGAATGTTATTGTTGGGCCAATATTTTTTTCTTTTGCTTTGTGTGTCTTCAGCATCACTTTGGACAAGCAAATTCTCAAAAGCCCCTAGGAAATTTGGCTCAGGCTTCCTGTACACTTTCCTGCTTGGAAACTCTGCCCCAGGGAGGAAGCCTGAAGACAATGAAGCCAGCCCACTTTTGCTTGGTTTCTTGACCCATCTTTACATTGGGAAAGGGCTTCTGTTATGACATAAGGGTGCCACAGTTTTTTTTTTCCTTCTTTCATTTGAAATGACTGGTAATTTGTGCCTTACTCCAGAAGACCTATATTAGCTCCTTCTCCCCCCAAATCACAAGGTGAAGTGGCAGAGGATGGTGCTTTCCGCCGGGCCCGTGTCCATCTCACATACTTCTGTCCAAACATTCTGTTCCTGTCAGTCTGGTTACCCATCACCTCTGTTCACTTTGTGAAATTATGGAATCAAAATGGTGTCACCTGTGTCAACTCTTAACCAAAAATATAATAAACTGGAGGATTGTGAAGGAGGGGATTTCATGCATGGGTGCCTGACTATGAGAACTGTCATGATATACTCTGACAAAACCTCAACCTTGCACAAAGACCAACACAATCTCACATAAAAATATATCTATGAGGGCACCCACCCAGCAACTTCCTGTTCATTCTCGGGCTGATGGTCACCCTTGTTACTGATCCCTGTAGCCAAGGATTGTTTCAAAATACTTTATATACATCTTCCCATGGGCCCAGTATGATGCTTCAATTGGCTAATTCTTCCCCTACAAGCACCAGCATCCCATATGAGTACTGGTTTGTCCCTGCAGCTCCACTTCCCATCTGGTTCTCTGCTTGTGGCCTGGGAAAGCAGTGCAAGATGGCCTAAAGCCTTGGCACCCTGTGCCTATGTGGGAGACTAGAAAGAGGCTCCTGGCTTTGGGTTGGCTCAGCTCCAGCTGTTATGGGCATTTTGGGAGTAAACCAGTGGATGGAAGAGCTTTCTCTCAATTTCTCTTTCTCTCTGTGAAGCTGCCTTTCCAACAAGAAAAAAATAAATCTTAAAAATAGCAAGTCTTCCTATTTTACCTATAAAAACTTCCTTTTGCCTCAAACCCCTCAAATAGGCACACAGTTTACTACAGTACGTGTATTCCCATGGCAATGCAAGGTACTGGGTCCATGTGTTGGTCTACCTGCTCGATGGCATCTCCCCATACTGTATGTAAATATGAGGGTACTTCAAAGTATTTGTGGAAAAACCAAACTAAAAGGTCAATTTGTTTTGGTGCAAAAAAAAAAGTTTGAAAACTGTGCCTAGTTTTTTTCATACTACGCATTTTTCCATCAACTTTTTTGATAGAATGATGACCTGTAGAAAAACAAGTCTCACTTCGCCTGTGTCCTCATGCTGCAGGTGTTGGCACTCATCTCCAAAGGCAGCATGATTCCTATAGGAGCCTGTTGTTTGCTCTCTGATAGCCCATGATTATAAAGATAATATGCATATATGTTTGTAGTATTACAATCTTCAAAGGCTTTTAAGAATCGTTCTGCATTTTCCATCCTTTTTATCTTCCTGTACAGCAGTGTCTGCACCTTCACTTCCTCAAGGCAGTTCTTGTGAACTTGCTTAGTAGGTCACTTCTCTGTGCTTTCTGGCGGCACCTGCATGGATCCAGCCGACCTCTGCTTATGGGGCTCCCATTTCTATCCTGGCTAGCCCACTGGCTGAGGACACAGTCCTTCATCCCAGCTCGCGTTCGGCAGCTTTATGAACACGGACTCCATTTGCATCCTTCCTAAACTAGAGGCTCCTGTTTGGTTCTCTGGCTGTGTCTTTTCAGACTGAGGGATCCTGTTTTCTGTTCCTTCCTCCCTCCCCATCCTTCTGGCCCCTTTAGGGGGTATTGGTGTCTGGCCCTTCTCAATGACCCTTGACTGATTTTCTGGCGAGCAGATGTACTCAGAGTTCCTGGGGATCAGGCATGTCAGGTTCATACGAGGGCATATGTGATTATCCCTCCCGCTGCTCCCCCCCCCAGGGCCAACCTACCTCTTCAGATACTTAGCAACAATCCGCAGTGCGTGGACTGACCAAAGGTCGCTGATGGGGTTGCTGCCCTGGTATGCTGGTCGCATGATGGGATTAGAAGGGCAGGGGCTCCGCATATGGTAGGGAATGGCAGTGTAGGACTCCAGGGCATGGCTGATGAGAAATATCGAAATAACGCAGATTGAGGGCAGTGTCTTTTTCCTCTCTCCATTCAGACACAAAGCCACATTAATTCTGTCGTGGGGATGCTGTTTAGCACCAAGATCCCGGTGACTCTCCCCATTCAGTCTCATTTCTGCAGCAGCCATTGATTGTTTACAGAGAAATTCATGAAGCCAAATTGACATTAACTGTACTATGGTGTTTTTGACCGGGGTGGCGGTGAGCCCACCAGGTCCCTAGCCTGACCTCTGCTTGCTTCACATCTGGATGCATCAAGAGTCTGAGTCTAAGAATGGCTCTGTTTCAGGAGTGGGGCAGTGGAAAGTGGGGGAGCAACTTGATTGCTGAGCTGAATGTCCAGAAGCTATGAATAAAACCAGGGCTTCAGGTTACAGATTTACAACAGGAAATGTAACTGCTGAGGGACAGACACTTGAGTCTTTCAGCGCCTGTGATCCTGGCAGGAAAGCCTGATAATGGCCAGTTTATAGTCAGAGGCAGAAGGAGGCTGACCAGGGCAGTTGGCTCAAAGGCTTATGGCCATTTTCCCTCTTTAGGACACTGAAGGTGCAGCCTCCTGGGGCTAGCTGTTGTCTCCCACGGGGGTTACTCAGAGGGGCCCACTCCTATCTTTCGATTGACACTGGAGATTTGGGGACTATGAGTCATTCATTTGCAGGGGACTGTTTGGCACACAGTGTGTTTATCATATAGCTACAGTTACAGAGGTTCCTCCTCTGTCCCTTTCATTCTCAACTTTATTGGACAGCTCATGAAAGGCCCAGCAGAATTGCCCTGAGATGGGACACAATGTTGTTCTCTGGTCTTATGGCAGGCAGCCTAATGTCATGAGGAGCAGACCACAGATGTGGACAGAGTGGATATGCATGCTAACTAACTCTGTCCTCTCCTAATCATGTGAGCTATCATTCAGTGGAAATAATTCAGTTTTTATGCAGTGATAGTCATCATGTTCAGGAATAGAACTTAGAGAACAGAATGAGATGGCTCTGTCTTTACCCAGCTCACAGGGTAGTGTTGTAGATGGGCATTTGACCACGGAGCAATGTACAGGCCACCCAGGGCGCAGAGCAAAGGACAAGTGGTCATTGTACCCAGTGAGGGGACAGGCCAGCGCAGGTTCCATTCAGGAGCAAGAGCGCCTGTGGAATTGAAAGACATGTTCTTTGCGCAGATGAAGAGCTGAACACCAGGGACATTCTAGGGCCCAAGGAGTTTGGCCTTTAGATGGGAGGCATGGAAAACCAGAGACTTTTAGGGTAGATTTGTGTGTGTGTTTTGGTCATGTTGCAACCTGAAACCCTTCTGGGGCCAGTACGGATGGGTGCTGGAAGGACTATGTGATGAAAAGGAGTCGGGGACACAGATGAGGACACTGTTGCAATAGAGGGAGCTGGGACAAGCAATGCAGCTCAAGTGAGGGATCAGATGGTGGAACACCTGGAGCAGGACAAGAGGATGTATGAGGCATGAGTGAAGGCTGCTGTTCATGCTGAGTCTCGCTGCTTCCTGAGCTAAAGGATGAAGGGAGAAGCAACGGGCATGTGGTAAGAGAATTACCAGATGCCATCAGATTTAAGATATAACGTAAGCTATAAAGTGCATCGTAAAAAAAAAAAAAAAAAAACCAGTGCTGCCATGCTACCAATTTTGAGGTATATCCTGATTTCAGAGATGTGAAGATGTGAAAATGCTTGCATGCATGCACGGATGAAATAGGGGTGTTTGGGGCATGATGTATGTGCAGCGCCCATGGAACCCCCAGAGGCTGCTGCAGGTAACGGCTTGCACTGAAGTCCGGGTGCCGGACCAAGAAGCTATTAGTATGTCACAGCCAAACCCACGGGAGCAAGCAAGGAATCTGGCTCCATCCCTAAAGCTCTCAAACCTAGTTTTCTTTTTTTCAATAAGATGATAGTTTGTGCGGCACAGACTTTTGGGGCAGGACTGAAGGGCTGACACCGTGCATCTCCAGGTGGGTGCTACGTGGCGCCAGTTCCCTTTCCCACCATTTTCCTTGGGCAATGTTGTGCCTTCCTGGGTTAGTGTGATCATGAAGGCAGGTGGTGGTGGTGTGGTTGAGAAACCACGTGCCTGGCTGAGATGTTTCGTCAGCTGTGCCCCTGCCGCACATCAGGTTTATGTCCCACACTGGACCTTACCTTGTCATCAACTTTTATGGCTTCAACGTTTTCACCTAGGGTGGAAGGTCAAAGTGAGGGGTACAGTGGAGTAGTGAGCAGTGGGAGCTAATCAAACTCTCTAGCTATCCAACACTGTCCATAGACCTGGTATTGAGAAAACCTCTCTGTAAGGCCCCAGGACCTACCAGAGCACGTCGAAGCCACTGTTGGCAACCACCTGGGCAGGCATGTGGCGGGTATGCAGAGGATCAACCAGTGCCAGTGTGGGTTTGATGGCTGTTGAAGCAATGCCTAAAACATCAGGATTTTCAGTTAAGGCTAAAGGTATTGGCACCATTGAAAAAAAGTCTTAAATATCTTCAGGCAAATGCATTATTCCAGAAAATAACAATATGAACAAATGTTCATTCTCATGTAGGGAGACGGTATGTAGCAGCAGAAAGAGATGAGGAGTCAGAAGGTAGGCGATTTGCTGACGTTCTGGAGCTAGCTCCTACTAGATTCCAACAGCCAAGTGGAGGTATCTCCCCCCTGACTCCTGCAGCTTGATGTCATTGGGCATGGTAGGAGGATTACAACTCAGAAAGGAGCAAACACTGCAAAATCAAGGCCTGTTTGTTCATTGCTAAATTCCAGAGTGCTAATTTACAAGCACATTACTGTTTGATGCTAGGCTCTAGTTCTTGGCTTCCTGTTCATGCATATCAGGGAAGTACTGGTGATAGCTCAAATAACTGGGTTCTGGCTACCCACATGGGAGAGGGGAACTGAGTTTCCAGCCCTTGGCCAGTTTCAGCTGTTGTGGGCATTTGAGGAATGAACCAGGAGATGAGAATTCTCTCTGTTGGTTTTTCTCACTATGTCTTTGGTTTTCAATTTTAAAAAGGAGGGAGAAAATATGGCATTTCAACAGGCTTTTGAAGCTAATTCTCAGAAAGTAGTTTATGAGGTTACTTCCTATTAAAGTGTCCACATGCACATGCCCTTTCTAGAACTGCTTGGTTGTTAAATACTAAGGTTAAAAATACTAAGGTGGGGACTAAAGGTAAGAAAAGAAATTAATGAAAAAGTCAAAAATTCTTACCAGTTTTTACTTTCAAGTGCTCATAGTCAAAGATGGCAACCCCAGTGGTCTCGCTCCCAGTTCCTGAGGTAGTTGGGACTTGAACAAAACAATATTAACTTCAATAAAAGCATTAAGTAAAGGCCAGTGGAGATACTTGACTCCATCTCAGAAATAAGGAACAGAGTTAAGGAGGGAAGTTTGGCTGAGGACGTCCCTCACCTGACGTCTGCATGTGTATGACCAGCACAGGAGCCTCACACAGTTGGAGTCTGTGTCTGCATGAACATGCATGGGTAAGGTCTATATCTGTTTTAGCATACACATAGTTAATAGGCATGTTGATGCATGTTCATATTAATGTGTATGTATAACATGTTTAACATGTATAACATCAGTATTTGCTTCATGAATGTGTACATGTGCTTAATATGCATCATCTCTGTGTTAGCATGCATATGTACTTACTAGGGGAGACCTTGTATCTCTGTTAGCACACATGCATGGTGCCCATCCCTGAAGCAACAAGTAAGGATGTATTTAGTATATATGGTATCTGTATCAGCACACACGTGCATTTAATGTGTACTATCTGTATCTACACTAACATGCATGTGTTTAACATGTATGGAGTCTCTGTTTCAGTGCTAACATGCAGGCAAAATGTCTATGTTCTCATTAATACATGTACATGCTAATCATACACATATCCGTGTCCCCAGTGAGCATGAGCTCTGCAAACTTTCGGCTCCTCAAAGGCCAGAGTTTAAGCAGCTACAGCTAGGATGCAAATGCAGGCTGCCCTGCCCCTCTGGTAAGCGAAGTCCTATTTGCTGTCTCTAAAAGACTTCTTTATTCCTGCTTGGCAGCAAGCACTGGGACAAGCTCTGCCTTGGCGCCTCTGTGGTTTTGCAGCTCAGCGGAGAACCCCACTTAGTCACCCCTTGGTGTGGTGTTCACAGTTTCACCAGAGGGGTCCATTTGCCATATCCCACTTATGCTGCCCCCTGCTGGTTTCTCATTCAGGTGGAAGCTGTCCATCATTGCTCGCTGCTCTTTGGCCCCCTCAATATGATGGGAGAGGGGATAAGAGAGATGATGTAATTTTAAAGAAAGCCCATTTCCCAATTAATGGTAATGTATTTAGCTATAAAGCTTTAAAAAGCAGTGGACATTCAGACATAAGAAGACAAAGGATGGGCCTGGCATGATAGCGTAGCAGCTAAGGTCCTCACCTTGCACGCACTGGGATCCCATATGGGTGCTGGTTCTAATCCTGGCGGCCCTGCTTCCCATCCAGCTCCCTGCTTCTGGCCTGGGAAAGCAGTTGAGGACAGCCCAAATCCTTGGGACCCTGCACCCGTGTGGAAGACCTGGAAGAGCTCCTGGCTCCTGGCTTTGGATTGGCTCAGCTCCAACCGTTGCGTTCACTTGGGCAGTGAGCCATCAGATGGAAGATCTTCCTTTCTGTCTCTCCTCCTCTCTGTATATCCACCTTTCCAATAAAAATAAATAAATCTTTATAAAAAAAGAAAAGAAGGCAAAGGAAGAAATGACCAGAAAATCATGAGGTACGCCCTTGGAACACGTGAGTTACTCTCACTGTAAACTGCAGGGCTGTGCTCTGGGCAGCCATGAAGTGAATGTCACCAAGAACGAAATGGCCATTCTGGCCACATGTCCCAGGCAAAAGACAAAGTCAAGGTCAGCAGGAGAACCATCATGTTGAAGAAAAGGGTTAACATCAGAGAGAAAATAGTGAATTCCAAAGTGGTTGGTAAAAGGAGACACAGAGAAAGGTGTAGAGACAAACCTGCCAAGGAGGTATTTGATCATATTTAAATAAGACTTTCCCCTCCTCCTGGAGCTTAGATTTGCGATCTGCCCCACACTGGGCCCCAAAATATATCCCACTATGCAATAAAGATCAGAATTTTAAAATGAACCCATTTCTGTTTTGGTCTCCAAACAAGACACTGATTGAAATGAAAAAGCCAAAAAGTTTTTAGAAACATGCAAGGTTTCTTTCAAACATTCATGGAGAAATAGAATTAAGATAGGTTTATTTTGGTGCAACATGAAAAAAATCCTGAAAGTCATGATGCGCATTTTGCATGAATTTCTTCGAGACCTTGTGTGAACCCTAAAAATACGAGCTTGCATTTTTTCCTGGTGTACTTTGTCCAATGCAAGACAAACAGACCAATGGTTTTTACCTGCAATCAGAGGCTTCACGGGCACGGGCACAGGCTTTCCCTTCCCAATGGGGGCATTGACATAATCCAGAAAGTCAGAGCTGGGGTTGGATGCATACAGATTAGCAGCTTTACAGGTGTCCATGGTGGAGCCGCCACCCACGGCAACATAGGCATCAAACGCTCCCTTTTTGGCAAACTCAATAGCGTCTATGAAGCTTGGAGAAGGGAAAATGAGAACCACCACGTCATATTTTTTTTTCCAGAAACAAATTGCCCTGGCATTAAATCAGGCCTGGGGCAGGGTTTCAACAGCAGCAGAATGTGTGGGCTTCTACCTAAAATAACAGCAGCAGTGTAGGCATACCTTGCATCTGTGGGCTCCACCCTCACATTGTCATAAACCTTGAAGCTGATGCCATTCTTCACCAGGGAATCCATAACCACTTGGACAGGAGGGAGCTGGGAGAGGTTCTTGTCTGTCATTAAGCAAACGTTTTTAGCCCCCATGTTTTGTAGGTCCTACAAAAAGAAGACATATTTAAATTACATTTGATTACACTAGAACTGGAATAGACCCTTTGTGCAAAGCTAACAGTCGATGTCGTTTTTGCAATAGTGGATTCAACTGTGGCCAGCTAGTACTTGTTTACAGAGTAGTTAATATTTGCAGTAGGAGACTGAGGACATTTCAAATCCTTACCATGCCCACTTCCTTTGTGACTCCTGCTCCATATCTAATATTTGAGACAGCCATCTGGAAAAAAGATAAAATATTTAGGGATATGGGGAAATGGGGAGCTGGCTGTTCTATTTCTGAAATTCTGAACTGGTTCCTCACTGCTTGGAAAATAAAGGGTCTGCTCCTTGGGATGGTCTTCAACTGGCCTTGGACTCACCACGCATCTTTAAGCAAACCTTGGCTCCAGTCACATTGGAACTACAATGGCCCTCCCTGCTCTGGAATTTCTCTGTGCTGGCAGTGGCCTGTAGTCAATTATGGTCTGAAAATATGAAGTGGCACACAACAGAAGAAAATGATTTATCAGCTGTAAACTGTACACCATTCTTCTTGGGATATGCTACCTGCAGACATCTTGGTTACCAGATCCACTGTCCAGGTATTGCAGGGCTTGTGTCTTTATTTTACTTATTAATTGCCCCAATGTGAGGTCAGCAATTGGCGTATGTCAAGGGGAAGCTGTAAAATGCATCTTTTAGGTGACAAAGATGAAAGGTTTTGACGCAATAGCAAATAAAATATTTTATGCTAAGATTGCAAAGGTCGGTGGTAACGTATTGTTAATCTCTTACTCAACTAGACCATCTCTGCCTCAGCTATAAATTTAACTTTTCCATAAGCAGGTATACATAGACAAAATAGAGCACATACACAGTTTGCTACTATCCATGGATTTAGGCATCAACAGAGGGTTTGGAACATATCCCCAAAGGATAAGGGTGCAGAGGGGTCCTGCTGTACTCTATTCCCAAATACACCCCTAACTCTTAAAATTGTCCCCTCGGCTTTTGGATGCTACCTTTCTCTACTTACACATTAACTATCAAATATTTTGCTTTTCTGATTTTAAATGTAGTTGTATCTTCTATGTATTTTTCATCCATTTAGTTACCTATGTATCCACCCATCCATTTAACCTTCCTCCCTCTCTCTTTCCCTCCCTCCTCTCACCCTTCCTTCAACTACCTCCCATTCAGCCAACACTGCTGAATGCCTGTGTTTTGGTCACTGTGGAAGGCTCTGGTAACAGAAACATTACTTCCTAAAGATTATAGTTAAGGTAAGAGTTTTTATACTGATAGAAATAGGTTAATTTGACCCAAAATGTTTCTACTGGATTCATGTTATGCTTAAATTTTCTTTCTTTCTTTCTTTCTTCCTTTCTTTTCTTTCTTTCTTTCCCTCCCTCCCTCTTTCTTTCTTTCTTTCTTTTTCTTTCTTTCTTTCTTTCTTTCTTTCTTTCTTTCTTTCTTTCTTTCTTTCTTTCTTTCTTTCTTTCGTTCTTTCTTTCTTTCTTGTATTAGCTAATAATCCTTTAAAAAACAAATAAACAAGAATTGCAACACTGAATATGGCTATCCGGATTGCTGTCTCTTGAGTAATCTGGAAACACTGGAGCTGCCTTTCCACAGGGCAGCAGCCAAGTGGATGGAGCACCCTTCAGGTGGGGCCTGCACGCTGGGTGAACTTGGCAGTGGCCTTCCCTAGTCTGCTCCCGGTGACATTTCTGTTTGTGACTCCTGGACCAAGAGGACACAGGGATTTAAATAATTAATTGTACATAATTATGCAATTACAGCATGATAAAAATGTACCAGAATTAGCTCTTCCTTTCCTTTTGCTTCAGCAGACTTGTTTGACGTCTTTTGGCATTGTTATACAATCAGAAAGCTAAACATTTACCACATAACATACACAACTACATCAGAGTTTCACTGTGTTAGTGGCTGTACTGACGACAGTATTTGAGATATTTATTCACGGTCTCAGAAGACTAGTACTGCATTAGCCTAAGAGGTTATCTTACAACAAAGAACCTGATCAAATGCAGGTTGTAGAACATCAAGCAATAACAGATTTATAATAAACTGTAGCAAAATACTGAGCTACCCATAAAACAATGAATTGATTGAATCTACCTCAAAGGCATAATCAGTTGTTCTTCCAGAAGGTGAGAGTCCAGGAGCTAGAAACGTAAAAACTGACATCAGAGAAGGGCATAAGAGTACAGCAGAAATAATGTTAACCAATAACAAATTGGAACTGGTCTTTGGTAGTAAGAGAGCAGTGCACACAACATTTCCTTTGAAGACTTTTCTAAAACATATTTTTTGGATTTCACTGTGCACATCAAATTAAAATTAGACCCTGCCTTTTATGGGGTGAACAGTCAGCCTTGTGAAGCTGTGGCTTGGGAGCCCTGCAGCCTATGATGGACTGCCCAGTTGGCGTCTCAGCTCCGCTCCTGATTTCTGCTTTCTGCTAAAGCGTACTGCAGGAGGCAGCAGCGATATGCCATCCACACAGGAGATCCAGACGGAGTTCTAGGCTACCAGCTCCGGCTGGCCCAGGGCCTTTGCAGGCATTTGGGGAGTAAAACGATAGATGAGAATGTTCTTTGTCTTTCTTTTCCTGTTTCAAAATATAAATGAGTAAAAATTTGAAAAATACCTCGACGGCCATTGCGGCATGGTAGGTTAAGCCACCACCTGATTACCTACTTCCAAAACTGGAGTGTCAGGTCAAGTTAAGACTTCCTGCTAATGTGCATCCCGGGAGGCAGCAGAGGGTTGCTCAAGTACCTGAGCCACTGCCCCTCATGTTGGAGTCTGTGTGGAGGATTCCTGGCTCCCACCTGGCTCAGTGGCGATAGCAATGCTTGGGAAGTGAACTAGTGCACAGAAGATCTCTTTCTTTTCCTCACTCTGCTATTCAAATTAAAGTAAGTAAACATTTAAAATAAAAACTCCTAGTTTAAAGCTAGATTGAAATATTAAGATTATGCTGATTTTGTGAAAAAGTCATTGAAAACATTTTCTTGGGGTCCCCACACAATAGCTCAACTGGTTAATACACTAACTTCAAGTGCCGGCATACCATATAGGTGCCGTTTCCTGTTCTGGCTGCTCCATTTCCCGGCTTGTGGCCTGAGAAAGCAGTAAAGCACAGCCCAAAGCTTTGGGACTCTGCACCTATCTGGGTGACCCAATGAAGCTCTGGTTGGTTGTTAGCTCAGGTCTGGCCATTGCAGTCATTTGGGGAGTGAACCAGCAGATGGCTGAGTTGATCAGGAGCCAGAAGTTTCTTCTGGGTCTCCCAGGTGGGGGCAGAAACCTAAGAATTTGAGCCATATTTCAATGCTTTCTCAAGCCATAAGCAGAGAGCTGGATTGGAAGTGGAGCAGCTGGGATTAGAACCACATTGAATGCCTGCTATGCCACTGTGCCAGCCCCTAAAAAATGCTTTTGAATAGACTCTAGAGTTGGATTATTGTTAAGAGTACAATTGTTAATAAACAAATTAATTGGAGTTCTGTTTATATTTCTTATAGCAATGGTGATAATTTATTTGAAATAAGATTTTTTTTTCATAATTTGTCACAGTAAGAAATTTTCATTTCTCAAGCTCATACATAAACACAAAATTTAGCTTTCTTTGGGCCCAGTGCGATGGATTGGCTAATCCTCCATCTTACAAGTGCTGGGATCCCATATGGGCACCAGTTCATGTCTTGGCTGGTCCACTTCCCATGCAGCTCCCTGTTTATGGCCTGGGAAAGCAGCATATTTTCAGTTTCACAGAGAAAAGGTAACTGTTTTCAACAACATGATCTTGTTGCTTCACCCTTGCCCATAATGTGTCGGAAACATTAGCTGTGCGAGGGGAACTTGTGACTGGCAAAAGACAGTGCGTATCATGATTACCTTGGGAGTAAGTATGAGAATGCAGTGGGCACTGGCATCTGCAAAAAAGGAAGAAAAGAAAAGAAAGTAAGACCGGAAAGCAAAGAGAAACCTGAAAACTCACACTAGGGCAGTTAATATGGAATACAAATACATATATATGTATATATATCTATATAGGGACCAGACAGGGACATCTTGTGATAAGTCATCATATATAATCTTTGTTTTTTACTCCTCTTGTGGCTTTCTACTTTGTATTTGTGGAATACTAGTTAGTAATTAAGCCTGTGAATATCGAGTGGATTCAAATTAGCAAAAAAGAAAAAAAAAAGTGACTGACACTGCCCTGTAGAATGTTATCCAACCGGTGGTCATTGGCAGGCGCTTCTCAATAAAACTGCCAGAAATTGCGAGGGACCGGAGGAGGCTTCCCTCCAGGATCAACCTTTCCGCCGCGGGCCAGAGGAGCACCAGCAAGGGTGTGATGTGGCTCCGCCTTTTAGGAGGGCAGGGGTTTTGACCAAATTGAACCTCACTCAACCCTCCCACCACGTTGGGAACTGTCGTGGTGTTTTTCCAGGCCACTTTCAAAGCAGCGCCGGCCATGGGGGGCTTCTGGGAAGTGCAGCCGGCACCCAGCGGGCCAGTTTCGCCAATGCGCGGTTTGGACAGTCTCAAGCCCCGCGGGGCTGGCGATGCTGGCACCGGACACCTGCTGCTCCCTGGAGCCCGCCGCCCTGCCCGTCTCGGTTTCCCGCGTGCTTGGAACCTTGCCTCGCTTTTCCCTATTTTGACCCTCTATTTCCTGGGCAGCCCCGTTTCTGGCTTTTCTTTCTCCAGCTGGGACTGATGTCATAGGGGGCGTATCCGGGACCTCTAAAGTGCATGGCCTCCGCTTTCCCTTGCGCCCCGCCAAAATTCAAACAACACCCGAGGAGGAGGAAGGTGGGAGGGCGGAAGGAAAAGGGTGGATCTCTATGACAAAGGTCAAGGTCTCAGAAATGCTGGGCACTGGGGAGTCCAGGTCCAGGCCGAGCTGGGCCAGGGAAGGCTCCATGAGCCACGGCTGCCACCTAGCGATCGCCGCTGACCAGCGCGGGCTCCGCAGCCGTGAGCTGCCAAATGGGCATCAAAGCTGCCCAAAGCCAATGCCCCCGGGAAAAGCAGCTTCCTCCCCAATCACCTCTATGGCTCACTTTCTCCCCAACGCTGATAAGGCACCACGTTATTCCTGACTTGTGGCCCTGTGCCCTCTAATGCCCCCGCCTCCTGATCCGCAGTCACTGTAGTCTTTCCACCACAACTGCCCAGTTTCGCTCACTCAGGCTGCTTTTCTCTCTTTGCCTCCAGATCTTTGGCTCCCGAGACCCAAGACCCAGTTTTCCTCTAGATCCATCCTCACGTCTCCCGTGCCTGGCACTTTTTCTTTGAAAGACTTACGTCTTTCAAAGTCAGATTTTCACAGGAGAGGCTGAGAGATCTTCTACCCATTGATTCATTATCCAGGGTTGGGCCCGTCCAAAGCCAGGGGGCCCAAGCACCTGGACCCATCTATTTGCAACTTCCTCAAGTACTTTAGCTGGGAGCAGAGGTGGAACAGCTGGGACTCTAACCTGTGTCTACGCAGGATAGTAGCTTTCCCCACTAAGCCACAGTGCTTCCCTCCCTACTTTCTCTCGAGGCACAGCAGTAGTTGTTACTCTGCTCGTGGCTGAAGCTATCTCTTTGGCCTTCAAGATTCCCTACTCTGGTCCTTTCTCTGGCTGTCTGTCCACTTGGCCTGACTTTGTATGTTGGGTCTGTGCTGCTTGCAGCTGTTGGCCCTCCTCCCTTCCCCTTTAGAGCCTACCCCACATAGAGGCTCCAAAGGGTTTTCCATCTTGGTTTACCCCTCTTCAAGGTCCTTGCCACTCCCTGGGTTCTGATGTCACCTGTCATCTGGGGTTCCTCACTGGCTTCCCTTGGATCAAATAGCCATGCTGTTGCCACAGGACATATTTCCAGTGATGTCACTTTCATGGCTCCTAAGAGTCCTTGCTTGCCTCCTGACCCCAGCGACCTCTGCAACTTGGCCTTGTCTGGCTTCACCCCCCCCCCCCAACGTCTCAGTTCTAAAGACTCAGTTATTTTTCTTAAGTGAGTCATGATCTTTCTCCCACTCTTCCACCTCTCATTCCTGTTGTTTACCGAAAACCCACACTTCCCTCTTCTGGAAAACTTTTATTTCTTCCTTTAGTTCTGCTGGGCAGTCTTTTCTGAGTCCCGAGGCCCCACGTGGATACCCTTTCTGTGTGACTGCAGGGCTGTGCCTCCGTCCCTATTAAAACTATGATCATGGGGCCGGCGCTGTGGTGTAGCGGAGAAAGTTGCCATGTGCAATGCCTGTACTCCATATGGGTGCTGGTTTGAGTCCCAGCTGCTGCACTTCTGACCCAGCTCCCTGCTAAAGATCTGAGAAAACAGCAGAAGATATTCCAAATGCTTGGGCCCCTGCACCCACACAAGAGACCCAGAGGAAGCACCTGGTACTGACCTGGGCCAGTCCTGCCCATTGTGGCCATTTGTGGAGTGATTTAGTGGATGGAAGGTCCTTCTCTATAATTTTGCCTTTCCAATAAAAATAAATCTTTAAAAACAAACAAAAAACCTTCAACCACCACCACGATCATGCTACCTACTCTTAAGGGCCCTCAGTTTCCCCCAAATGTACTCAATTTGAACACTCCACACTCCTCTCTCGGGCCTGTTCTGTGCAACAGTGGTTAGCAGGGATATGAACGGTGTTGCGGTACAGACTTCTAGGACCTCGGGTTTCGGACAGCTTCAACAGGGCCGAACAGTTCATTCCCTTTTCCACAGGACTCGTCAGAGCCCTATGTGCTAGGTACACCCGTGCTCACCGCTGAGCTAGGGAACCTCCCAAGGTCGCTGACCATGGACCCATCATCATGGAACCCCACAGGATACCAGTGTTCTTAGACAAAGACCACGGCCTAGCTTTCCTGTAGATTATCTAAGGATGCACCTCAAATTCCTTGATTGAGGGCAGGGAGGGCCAGAGCGCCTGGTTGCACATCACAGCCATTGGCTTAGCTTGGGGCCCTAGACAAATTATTCACACCTGTTTCTCGTCTAGGACACAGTACTGCACCAGGCTGTTCTAAGGACTGCAGTCACTAATGTTAATAGCTCCTACCAGGCAGGGTCTGGTGTGTGGGTGGCACGCGGGGGAAATGCACAGGAGGGAGCTAGTTTCCTGTTTCTGACCTTTGACCAGTCCTCTCTGCCCGCCCCTGCGCCGTGAAGGCACTGCACTTTGGGATCCAGAAAGGACGTTTCACAGCCAGCTGTGGGTCTTGACTCCGTCCCCCACTCCCCTCAGACTTTCCCACGTTGTCTCGCGCTGACTTGGGTTGTGCACCTGCCAGGACTGATGGAGGCCACCGTGACCCCGGCGTCAGATGTGTATGGTAACAAATACCCTTCTAGGTGCAATGCAATGCCGCGGCGTTCCCACAGGCCCCTGCCACCTTCCCCGAACTTGACAAGCGCTCCCGAGCATTTCTGGACCGCATCCTCGGAGTCGAGTGCAGTTTCTGGCACATAATATGTACTCCATAACCGTGCTGGCTGGGTACACTAACCTGTCTTTGTCACGGCGTGGGAGCGGGAGTCTGTCTCCTGAACAGGCAGGGTAGAACCCGCCGCACTCAACCAGCACCGCAACGCCGTCCTGCGTCCCGGAGGTCTCACCCGGGACCGGCCCCATCCCGACCCGCAGCCCCCTACTCACGCTGCGCGCTGCAGTTCCCTTAGCAAGTGCGCGACTCGGGCACGGGCGGCGGCCATCCTGCAGGCTTCTCCCGCACCCCGGGGTCCCAGCTCCACCCCTGCCGTGGGCCAATCCAGGCCGCCACCCTCTTCCCGCCCCTCTGCAGTCACCTGCTGCCTCTTTAACCCGCAGTGGCCCAGGATCACTTCCCAGGACAGCTGCGGCCGGCCAGCCTACGCAGAGGCCTGGGCACAACTCTCACTTGGGAGTGGTTCTTTTCCCACTCAGACACTTTTCTAGGGCTGCTGAGTATTTCTGGTGGAAATTACCAAGATACTGCAGCTCTAAACAGTTAAATCTTACAAAAGTCAGAGGAACTTTTTTTGTTGTTTTACTGTGCCCAGTAGCTACATCAAGGCCTGAAGCCAAAACAAACAAACAAACAAACAAAAGACCCCAAAAAAACTCCAGGTAGAATAAGCCACAGAGGTTTCCTGAGCTGAAGATGAGTGAAATGCAAATAGTTTCAACTTGCCACACTGGTGGGTGGAAGGCTCCCCCGGCCCCAAGAACCAAGTCTCAGTGGAAGTTAACCAGCGCAAGGTGTTACTTAAAATCAGGCAGACACCAACACATGAACACTTATTCACCCCTTTAGCAAAATTACTACAGAATAGGAATGTCTTTCCTAAAATTAACCTTACAACTGAAGCAAGCAGGGAGGACAAAACGCCTCTCCCCACACCGCAGGAGGATGGCTTTCTGCACTACAGCAGGTGCAAGCCCTGTAAGTTTACACCCTCTGTGAATTTTCAGGAAATGCAGCATCGACCTTCACACACGGAGGACCCGATGAGGCCGAGGGATGGGAACCAACAGGGACACTTCTCACCGGCTCATCAACCGGCTCAGGTCAACACAAGGCCTGGATCAAAACACAGTGTGGCTCCAGCCAAGGTCTCAGCGGGCCATTTGTTTCTTCCCCAGTATTTACTCAAAACGATAGAAAGATTTAAGGACTTTTTTTAAAGTAACATTTGTTTTGTGAAACTGATTTATGAGTTGCAGCAAATTAATATGTTGAAAAGCATAACTTTTTTTCAAGCAGTTATCAACTGTACTGAATGCGATGCCCAAAGATGTACAGCTCAAATAAAAGTGGCTTTTTTTTTTTTTAAGTTCACAAAGATAACCTGGCCTGAGAATATAGGTTACTGGCTTTCTACAATTACCACCAACAGTCAGGAAGGAAACAGCCACACCAGATCCAGACTTTTA